TGTGTGTGTGTGTGTACAGGATAATGCATACATACTTGCTATACTTGTTTGCGTGTATACGACTTCGACCGTTAGACGACACGCGCACACCATAATACTTGGTTGTATAGGTTGAACAGCAATACTGATCAAAATAACCGATACGACTATAACGAAGTACAAATAAACATACTATACTTGGTAGTATACCCGCACACCCCTTAGCCTTTATAATAATACTACCATCATTGAACTCCGGGCACTCAGAGTGCCTCAGCACAAACATGCCCACAGTACTAGCGTGTTGCGACAGCTTTAAGGACACCGCCACTGCTGACGAGGTGAACCAGACGATTGTATCCGCTATACAAGGTATGATCGCATCTGCTTGATTATAGGTACATGTTAGATGCTAGCTGTACGTCGACTTGTATTCGATTAGTGCAAGCTCTCTGAATACTGGCATTTTCTGAGTCATGTGTGCAGTCTCACTCATATTTCGAATGATATTCTACAAGATCCGTACAATTTTTAGTCAATATCTTTAGAATCATATGTGACTAAGCACTCTCAAATTAGAGATGTATTTTGTTTGATACATTTATTCTTATGGTATTTAGAATGGCTCCATACAATATGTACTACAAATTCAGTATTGATGATATTTGTACTGCTGTGTAAAAACATTATCTCGGTGTTGGTGCATGCGAAATATCCCAGCCAGTTATCTTTTGGTGTGAATCATGTTTCAAACCATAACTGCAATGTCAGCAAAGTAGAGATTCGACAAGGTAGTCGCACCATCACATTAAGAAATAAGGCATTTGGTCAACTTGTGAGAGAGTGACTATTCTTGCCTATACCAAAGCAGCTATTCACTGAGCTCAAAGTCTTGTGTGATATACTGCACCACGCTTATACCGAGACCCGACTCCTCATAGGTGTATTGGGCGTATCATTGTCTTGCTCCGTTTTGTGTATCGATGTCTTTCTCCGTTTTCCATACTCCAATGCAGCCCTTTAAGCCGCGTTAGTAGAATACCTTTATCTTATAGACACTCACGTCTACGGGTATGCGATGCGTCTTACTCTATCGCCAGCATCCCCGGAACCTCATATTACGAATATATCGTAAAGTATCTTTGCACTAGCTTGTGTTGCTAGGATTATCCAACTGCTGTTTCAGACGTATCACGAAGACTATGAGCTTGCAAGCGCGATCACCTATACATTTTTTCTGATCACTCCAACTACAATATGACTTGCCTGTTCCAGAGGGACGCTGGATGAACATGATAAGTTTATTATATGGCTCAACATATCTTCTCACATTGACACGGTTCAGATGCCACTGGTATGTCGGCCAGCAAGATTAACATGAGCGATGGGGGAGAAGGGTTTGTAAGCGCATTGCAAGACGCTTTTAACCTGAGTATCGTATCGGGTATGTGAAAACGGATTAGCTATCTAAAGCACCGAGTATATCAGTAGTGCAAAGACCTTTGCTTTACATGGAGACTGCTGTAGCAAGTTGCGCTCGTAAGATCTACTTCTCAGAATTGCAAATGTGTCGATGATATGTTTCAGTCGGATGTACTATCTCATTTGTAGTGCAAGTATGCTGCTGCAATAGCCGAACGATGGGTGTTTCCATACTACAGCCCGTCTGCAAGCGGCTCGAGTGCGTTTTGGTGCAGGTACCCGTCGAGGTATAAGTGTGCGAAGCCGAAACCCTAAACCCTAAAAACGTACCGTCAACGACTCTCGACAAGAGCTTTGCACTTCGCTGTATCTCGATGCCTGTTTGTCCTGCATTTTCGCCCGCATTCTATAAGCTAATCTTTTAGTTATACCATACTATACTTGCTATTCCAGTGAGCGTAGATGGGCCTTTATTGTCCCCGATAACCGCCACATATGGTCTCTGTGAAGCCAAGCATCTTGCAGTGATTGAGCTAGCTGCTGCTGCTGGCATTGAGAGTGTGCCGGTTGAGCTTAGGAATCCTCTGAATACCTCCACCTCTGGCTTGGGTACACTTATAAAGGATGCTTATGAGAAAGGGGCCCGCTCTATACTTTTGGGTATAGGCGGGAGTGCAACAAACGACGCTGGCCTGGGTGCGCTACAGGTACAGAGCGTAAGAATCTGGTGTAAAGATATGCGAAGTATCAGTGAGTGTACTGGCTGTACTTAGGGTCAAGTTGGTTGAGTGTGTATTAGTTAGACATCTCGTTCTGTCGTATGCGAGTCACTTGTGCATGGCACCGGCTATGCGTAGCACCTATACAAGATGTCTATGACCCATACAATGTGTAAATCTATAACATCTCGAACACTCTGCGAAATGGAGCATCTTGCGTGCTGAATATATTGCCGTGGAGTGCAGAAATAGGAATTAGCAAGCCACATTCCTTCCGTTGGCGAGGTTGTGCCACCCGATTGCTTGCCAATACTGACATCAATGGGTCACTAAGTGATTAGTACCATACATCGACTCATCAACTGTATCTCTCACTCTCTAGACGACGTCACAATGCGTACACGTACCTCGTCTCCTCGCGTGACATCACAGATATACTATAGGCTTGGTATTAGTCTCAAATGTATGGATTGATAACCGTGCATACAGGAAGTATTACAACCAAATAAGCTCGAAGGAGTACTGGTGTACTCTATATTGTCATGCCTGAAAGTGCTACTGTATGGTCTTGGCCTGCCCAGCAAATCCACAATGTCTTGACCTAAACTCGACTGTCACACGGTTTGGCATTCTAGTCAATGGGCCTACAGATCCACACTAAGCACGGACTGTTAAACGAAACCTTCTGCGGCAAGCACTTGGCTGATGTTGTTGATATAGTCATCCCACCAGAATTGGAAGAAATGGTCAAACGGCTGAGCATATCTGTGGCGTGTGATGTGACGAATCCCTTTGTTGGTGGTTTGGGAGCCGTTGCGGTTTTCTCCACTCAGAAAGGCGCCGGCGCTGCAATTAAAATGGAGGTGTGTGTGTGCGTTTGTGTGTATGTATGTGTGTGTTTGTGCGATCCTGGTTTAAATTGTAGTATACGCCACATTTAATCCTGTAGTCAACGAGTTGTTTTCGAGAAAAAAACATCATTTGCTACTGGCATTGTTTTCTAAGCTACAATGAAGCTGTATGCGCTCTCTGTCGGTTTTTGAGGGTACTACCGTTAAGCATGAATACGGCAAGTGTTGTTATAGTGCTGATAGTTACTAATACATGAGAATACATTTCTTTCATTGCCAATTGTTTATGCCTTGGTAGTATGTGCGATGTACTGAAGCTACCTTAATGGCCCTAAAAGCCCCCTTGTATACACGTACAAGCGTGATGATCAGCGATTATGCCTAATTGGACTTAAACTACCACAGATTCACAACATACGAGCCTTATTGTAGGTATGTGTTGTCTCGTGGTGTTATCCCAGTCACTGATCTAACGCGTCTCATTTTTCTCTCCTCAGCTAGAGAGAGGAATGGAGAATCTTGCAAGAATCATTAAGCACAAATTTAATGTAGACGTCACAGATATGAGCGGCGCAGGCGCTGCCGGGGGCGTTGGAGGCTCATTTCATGCATTACTACGAGCTGAACTCAAACCGGTACAGTTTGATGGGGTGATATTGACACACTTGTACTTCCGTAAACTGCTGCAGTTGTAAACTGCGGTTGCAACAACTCTTGCGCTACCTAGACTCTACGTAGAATTAGTACATGAGGTTGCTAGGGGGGTTTGTCTGTCCTGCCTTTATGCCTGACCAGAGATTTCTTTGCGAATTCCAAACGAATGCTTACGTCTTGAAATGACTGGTCCAACATTTGCACTCTAGCGCATGTTTTGGATGTAATCTCCCTGGACAATTCTACCATCTGCATGGTCCCTACGCCCCGGTTCAATCTATTTTTGCTATTGCAGGGTGTCGAACTGATTGCGGACAACTTAGGCCTGGAAGATGCGATCAAAGCTGCTAATGTGGTTTTCACTGGAGAAGGTTCATATGACTCACAAACCGCTGGAGGCAAAGTGGTGTCGCATGTATGTACCACTGACGTCCAGAGATTCTGTTCCTTATATTTTAGAGATTATTCGTGTACTCGTGCAGGTCCCTCGAATGTACTCGCCAACATTTGTTATACCTTTCTAGTCAGTCCCAATCCGCTTCGCTAGCATGCTTGCTCTCACTAAATTTGAAGCATTCATTGACATGATCGCTTTTGTATTCTGATGTGGGAATTTATCTGTATACATAGGTACAAAAGCTGTGTGTGAAAGACATGAAACCATGCATCATAGTGTGCGGGCGGAACCAAATGACAGAGACTTCGCACGCAGCTGGTACAGATCTAGTTTGGGATTTGGTGTCCGTATATGGTAAGGAACAGTCAATGAACAACCCCTGCAATTCTCTGCAAAAACTAATTGAATCGAAAAAACGGGATGTGATTAGTTTAATTGATGACATCTGAGTTTAGTTGATGGAACTATATGGCATCTGAGACGCTTGATGTATTATCTATGCATTTCAGGCCCATAAACTCATATGCGGATACTCTCAGAAGTTTCAGTTAGAAATGGATATTCGAGTGTTTAGTGTATAACAGGTACTTCGTATCACACTGTTGTGCTAGCTGTGGCGACGCCCTGTTTCTTTCGATCGTCTATGATGATTTCATAAAGTTCAAACAAACGTATTAAAACCTCGTATATCTATTTGAAGGCGACGTCACCAGTACTTCTCGCAACGCGTAAGATGCACTACTTCGTGCGGAACAAAAAGTAATCAAAGCTACCAATATGCTGCTCGTTACCTACGATTGCTGCATATCGATCACTCTCATTAGGATATCACTGTATATATATTTATGTATATATATATATATATATGTTTGTATATGTATATAAATATATACATATATATATATATATATATATATATGTATGTATGTATGTTTGAATATATGTATGTATGTATTTATGAATGTATTTATATATGTATGTATGTATGTATTAATGTGTTTATTTATGTTTGTATGTATTTATTTATGTATATATTAAAATATGTTTTTTATGTCTATATGTATGTATATATCAATATAAATGAATTTAAATATATAGGTACGTATGTATGTATGTATGTATATCAATACACACACATATATATATATTTATATTTATACATATATATATATATATATGTATGTATATATATATGCATGTATGTATGTCTATATGTATACGTACATCTATATGTATGTATAGAAAATAGAAATATATATATATAATTATTATGTATGTATGTATGCTTATATATGTCTATTTATTTATATATATATATATGGTATGTATGCATGTATATGTCTATTTATATGTATGTATATATATATATATATATATCGCGTGTTATATATATGACATATATGATGTAATTACATGCATATAGTATATATTCATATATGTATATATGTATGTGTATATATATATATATATATCATGTGAATATTATATATATATATATAAATACATATATATATATATACATATGTCAGTATGTATGTATGTATGTATTATCATATATATATACATTGTTTATATATGTGTATATATATATATGTAAATGTATATACGTGTATGTATGTATATATATATATCTATATCATGTATGTATGTATGTATATATATATATATATATATATAATTATACATATACCTATCTATACATATATAATATATTTATATATATCAATATATATATATACATATGTGTATGTACGCTTGTATGTACATTTGTATGTTTTTTATACGTGTATTTGTATATATGTATATAATAATGTATGTATATGTTTATATATATATGTATATATATATATATAATATATATGTGTGTGTCTGTGTCTGTATATATATTTATTTATATATATATGTACATGTACATGTCAATATATGTATGTATGTATGTATGTATATGTATACATACACACACATTTATATATATGTGTGTGTGTGTATATATTTATATATATATCTATTTATATATGTATAAATATATATATATACAGTATGTATATATATATATACATGTATGTATGTATGTATGTATGTGTATACGTGTATGTATATATATATATATATATATATATATGACTCATTGGAATGTTGATCTTGTGAACTGCAGGAGCAGCATATAAGATTATATATCAGGATGGGCAATATGTCCTACGGACTTTAATACGTTGTGGCAATCCCCGCCCATCCGCCAAAGGCCCCTGTTTTTTTTATCCTTTTCGCCTTACTCCTCTACTCAACCCTCTCTCTCTAGTCTCTACTACGGTAGAGTAGAGAGAGAAAAGAATGTTCAAAATTCAAAGCTGCACTGCCACTCATCCGGAGCAGATTTTATTCTCAGTTAGTATTTACATTCAATGAAATCACTCTATTTCGGATTGTCTTTTTACTCCTCTAAACCCAAATTATTTATAACCCCCTCTAGGTAATTTCGTTTTTTTTTCTTACTCTCAAACCCATTTTGGCCACACTTTGAAACCCTTTTTCCTAATCTCGTGATTTCATTGTATGTAAATATTTAAAACTACATTTATCAAATTGTTGTAAAAGTTTTGGTCTCATTTGGTTTTAAATTAAACTCGTGTTAGAACCTCGTGTTTTGGATCGAAACTCCTGTCAAATCTGTCGTAAACTCGTGACTCAACTCGGGGTTTTTTTTGTTTTGGTTTTGCAACTCGTTTTGAAACGCAAAAGTGCCTTTTCCAAACTCGATCAAAACTTTTCAAACAATTTGATAACTGTACTTTTTATATATATTAAAACCCACATCCTATGACAGTCTATGTAGGCCCTACGCCCTACGGTTATCAATTACAGCCTCACAGGCACAGCCTCACAGCTTCGCAAGCCCACTGCCCACAGGAAAGCCCACAGGGCACAGGGGCAGGGAGAATTCAGAATTGAGGCATTGTCGAGAACTCGAGACTCAGAGAATAGAGAGTAAATATGTCTTTACATAGTGAATGTAAAGTCGAGATTCGAGAGACTTTGTCTAAATATACGACACCCGTGGTTTTGGACACGGCTCGGGCGTTTAAAATTTTATAGTGAGAGCCTGACGGGTGTCGTATAGACAAAAAGTCTCCGTTCGCAAAGGTAGGATCGGCGACTTTGGCCCAAGTACCGAGCTATTAAGCCTGTTCACTTCGCAAAAGAATATCTCTACCGATACAACAGGCAAATATCAGTTTTCGGTACATAATCTACACCTATCACCTGAAATAGAATACAACGTCTCAGACTAGAGAGAGCCAGTGTTCTGTTAAAACTGTGAGCGTGAATTCGTGAATCCATACTTCTTTATATTATTGTTTTAGTAATAAATTATACACACGAAGAAAAGAAGGCTATGTAAAATATCATAGTTTGGTTTGCACAATTGCATTGTGGTTCATCAATGTTGAATCTGGGTTTGTCCCGTTCTGTTGTAAATTTCAGGTCCAAGGGATTTTGTCCTGTTCGGTGATTTCATTATGGTGCTGTTGCTTAAAGATGTTCCACCAAATAAAAAATTAAAAGCTGATTTACACATTGAAGAATTCGAAATCTTAAAATCGGGTTTCGCAAAACTGCCTTGTAAAATTTCGGCCATTATTGAAGTGGCCATTATACTGACTTTGGGCGGCCAATATTGAACTTGGGAACGGCCAATACTGAACTTGGGGAGCGGTCATTATATTCTAGGTCCTACAACCACATATGGTAAATATATACATAGTT